TCCCAGGTGACAGGTGGTACAAAGCAGGACAGTTCCCCAGATCAGAGGCCCAGCAAGGAGCTGCCGGTCTCCTCTAGAAACTTGGGGTTCTGACCCAGTCTGAAGTTCAATATGGGGGCATGGCCAAACTACCCGCCTGGCCCCCTCCTGTTACTCCACACCCTCGCCCCAGCTGGGCCGCACCATTCTGGGAGGCTGGGCAGGGGACTGGGCAGGGGACCCTTGAGAGGAATCAGATGACCTGCTGGGCCAGGGTTCGGGTGGCCGCGCCCACAGGGCCCACCCAACCCTCTTTCTCTTTGCTTGCTGGAGGCCTGAGTCACCTTGAGAGACCAGGAGAGAGGCCCTTCCTGTGGTGAAGTGGCCTCGAGGGGTTTGCCCAAGCCCCGGCCCTTGCCCCCAGGTTCCCGGCCAGTCATAGCCCTCAGCCGCCAAGGCTTCTCTGGGTCAAGTCCCCAACGGAGGGCCTCCTGGCCGTCAGGCCCCAAAGGTCTACAGATGGGGGTCTGGGGCCGGGGGGGGCACCGGGAGAGGCCTGCGGTGGCACAAAGCCCTGGCAGGGGTGGGTCCAGAGTGAAGGGCCAGCCTACAGGGCCAGGCAGGCCCTGGGGAGGAACGGAGAGTGCCCTGGTGCTGACTCACCCCCAGGATACATTGACACTGAGCGACTGACACACTGAGCAGTGTCTGGGTCAGGCCCAGAGAGAAGGGGTGAAGGGGGGAGAGACGGCCCGGAGTGGGAGGGGATGGTAGGCGACAGACAAAGGCGGATGGACAGGTCAACGCAAAGACCGGTATCAGACGGCACACGGGTGGTGGAAGCAGGTCTCAAAGAGTAGGTGACATCTGCGCCGAAGCTGGGGTGTTAAAGTCGGGGGAAAACAACCTGGTGACGGGAGGGCCAGGAGGAGCAGCACCCCATCATCCTAGATCGGAGCCACAGAGCTTGGGCCCTGAGGAACATGATGAGAATTCATCTCTCCCGCGGAGGCCACCAATTTTAGCGCATCACCCTGGGAGTCCATAAACCTTCATCCTTCTTAGCCTCCTAACAGGAGTTGTCTGTTTCGTGATTATAAAAACTACATATGAATTTTTTAAAAGATACAATGATGTTAAGACACATGCAGGTCTCAGTAGACCTCCCTGACCACCCAAGTCAATTGATTCTGCCCCCAGGGAAGCGCCCTGTTCAGATGGGTGAGCAAGGGGAAGGCTGGCTGGGTGGGTGGCTGGATGGTGGGTGGGTGGGTAGATGGATAATGGATGGATGAATGAGTGAAGGATGGGTGGATGGATGGTGGATGAGTGGATGGGTGGTGGATGCATGGATGGTGGGTGGGTGGGTGGATGGTGGGTGGAAGGTGGATAGATGGGTGGATGGTGGTTGGGTGGGTGGATGGTGGATGGGTGGGTGGATGGATTAAAAACTTTACTTATGGCACTCATACTACAGGGCCGACCTTCAAAAGGGCAGAGTCCAGAAACTATCATTTGTCCTTACATTAAGCCCATAAAGTAAACAGACTCTGAGAAGTTAAGTCACAGACCAAGGATACTCTGCACTGAGGTGGCAGCTGGGATTCTGAGTGAATGTGAGACCTGCGTTTCTCCACCAGAGGACACTGTTCCTCAAAGGCAAGGACAGGACACCCTTCGGATGTTTCCAGAGCAAGAGTCCGGGAGCAGCCGCCTCCTTCCTGAGTACGCTGTGCACCCGGGCTGGTAAACACGCGTGTGTACGTGCACACGGGGGCACACACCTCTCTGGGGTGTGACGCTCCAGGCGTGGCTACACAGCCTGCTTCCCCCACTTCACAGAGGTTTGCCCACCGTCAGCGTTAGCTCCCTTAGACGTAGCACCGGCTTGGAGATGGCCACCCCCTCCGGCCAGCAGGCAGCCCCACCAGGATTAAGTCTGGGCCCCCGTGGCCCCATCCTGGCTCACCTTGCCTGCAGCCAGCACGGACTGTTGGGGTGTGCTGCCCAATGTTAGTCGGGTACCCTCTCCGCACGCACCCCGGCCTGGCCGAGGCCCCCTGCGTCTGGTGCGGCAGTGCCCGGAGCCCCCACCCGTGGGAAAGGGCCTCGGGCGCTGGGCTTCCTCCCATTCTAACCTTGGCTTCCGCGCTTTATCGGCCCCACACAATGGGCGAGGGACCACTCCCGCCCCACCCCAACCCGCCACCCCCAGCCTCTGGGCTGCTGGGAAATGTGCTCTTCCTTGCATTGCTCAGAGAGGGTCATCTTCTGCAGGGACACACTCAAGCCAGTCAGCCCGATAGAGGGGCCAGGCAGATGGAACGTGTCCCCGAGCAGTCAGGGGAAAAGGCAGGTCCCAAGAGGGCCCTGTGGGCCAGGAAGAGAAGAACCGGGGGTGGGGAATCAGGGTCTGACTTCCAGCCCCAGCTCCCCCTCCCCCCCCACACCCACCTTTCACCCCCTCCCCCCTCCAGAGGCTACAGGCACCGGGCACATAAAGGCCCTCCAACTGCTCCCGCAGCTGTGTGGCCCTGGGTGACACACTTCGTGCTGAAAGGCAAATGGAGTCAGCCCAGAACCACCCAGGCCCCCCTTTACTCTGGGCCCTGACTAGCGCCCACCAGCCACCTCCAGCAGTCTTATCTAACTAACAATAGCAGTGGCTAAGAGGTAGACCCTAGGCTGCCTGGATGGGACTCCTAGTTTACTAGCTAACTGGCCTTAGCCAAGTTCCATCTCTCTGTGCCTTCATTTCTTTATTTGCGAGTTGCGGGCTGATCACGGACCTACCGACAGGGCTGCGGAGGGTTCCCTGGGTTAACATGGGCTAAGCGCTCAGCCCGTGCCTGGCACGTGCAGCCCGTGGTCAGGGAGCGCTACTGTGGCACTGTTATTGTTTGTAGAGCTCACACCTATGAGTCAGGCACTGTGCTAAACTCGCCCTGTCTAACCTCTGTGACAGTTCCAGCACTTACAGCTGAGGGCACTGTGCGGCTCTCGCATGTGTCTGGAGGTGGATTACTTCAGGCCTGGTTCCAGAGCCCAAGGTGATGCAGGATCACCTGGGAACAGGGTCTGCTTGGCCAAGCCTGGCTGCCCTTTCTAACCTGGCCTAGCCCGGTAGGCCCAGCAGAACTTTGTGGAAATACTGGTTCTACTGATTTGTTCAGATACAGGACATAACTCTTCTTTAGCTTTTCTAGCAGGAAGCCGGAAGGTGCTGTTGTGCATGTTGGAGCTGGGACAGTGTGGTGGCCCTCCTGTGTGACCCCCAGCCTAGGCCTTTACCCCCACAGGCCTCTGCCCAAGCCAGTCCCCTGCAGGAAGAAGAGAGACAGGAGAATGGCGAGGTGGGGCCCAGGCCTCTGTTCTTCTCGCTGCAGGGGGCCAGGTCAGGCTGGGGTGGCACACAGTTTCCTCTCAGGACTCTCCCAGGAAAAGGACAGAGTCAGGCCTGTGGCTCTGCCTTGCCGGGGAGCAGCCAGCAAGGCGGGCAGCTGGCAGCAGAGGGCATTGCAAGACAACTCAACTCAGGTCACGGAGCCAGGCCTGTGGGTGACCCAGGGGGAACCCTTGGGGTGGGGTGGGAGGCAGGTGTCTCTCCTCACCCGACCTCAGGAGGGCCAATGTAAAGTGACCCGAACAGACTATCTCGCAGGTCCGTCTGGTTCAGACACTCCTACTCATAACTGCTGGGAGGCCAAGAGACAGGATCGCAGGTAGGAGAGGGGCAACCGGCAGCCACCAGCCAGTGACAGGCACAGTGCATCTGGGCAGCCCCAGTTTAGCCACACAGAAGCCCAGGACCAGCCCACGGTGACGCCAACGCTGGCTGGCCCTCCTAGCTTTCATGATAGGGTCACTGACATGGACAGGACTTTGTGTCTGCTGCAGCCTTCTTGAATCCCTGGGACAGGTCCATGAAGACTTAGCACTCCCATTTTGTAAGAGAAATCTGAACCCCAGAGAGAGAGAGAGAGAGCTAAAACCAGTCCAGGTCTCAGCACCAGGAAGGAGGAAGCAGATCTGCATGTGAAACTGGGTTGCCCAACGCCACAGGCCTAAAATGTCCCCCCTTTCCTCTTCGCCTCTTGCCTGGCCCTGTCTGGAAACAGTGGCCTGTCTTATCAACTCGGTTCCCATTATGGGGCAATCACCGGAGGCTGAGTGCCACGCAGTGCCCTCAGCCCGGCCCCAAAAGGGGCTATTTCATCCTCCCAGCAGCCGGTGAAGGAGGTATTATTACCATGTCCATCTCCCTGGTGAGGCTCAGAGAAGAGCCGGGACTTGCAATTATCCACCACCAGTGAGGGGAGCGTGAGACCTGGGTGAGGGTCCAGAACTCACTGTCCCTTGCCCAGACAGGATTCTTCGTGAAGCTGGCAGGAGGACACAGATGTGAATGATGATGAAAGGCTGGAAGCCCAGGTAGAAGGGCAGCCCCCCACAGAGCTGGGGGGCACCTTCTGAGGCCCTGACCAATCAGTTGCTCAAGCCCAAGAAAGGACGCAACGGGCCAAAAAAGGATGCATTGGGGGTGGGGGTGCTGCCCGTGGGAACCCTGGGCACCAACAGGGAAGCTGGGAAACCAGTGGTCAGGCCTGCTGGACCCCCCAAGAGGAAGCTTCTGTCCCCATATGAGAGCTGAGATCAACTGGTGTGAGGTGGGGGACTGAGGATGGGGAGTCCCAGGGCAGGTGTGGGCCTTGGGCCTCAGCACCCTCCGGAGAGGTGCATCCAGGCCTGGCCTGAGTGAGTGTGAATGGACCCTCCTGAAGCAGCTGCATCAAGAAATATCCTAAGAGGGTGGTCCCCCCTGAAATACAGAGCGTCAGAATATCTTGGGGGACAGGAGGAGGCTTGTTTAAAATAGAGGGTCTGGGCACCATCCTGGGAATTCCAACTCCAGAAAACCGGAATTGGGGGACTAGAGATCTGATGAATCTCCTCCTCTAGTTTTAGGGTGCAGCAGGGCTTAAGACCCTCATGCGTTTCCTGAAACTCAGACCCAGTCCCAGTTTCTTTGGGATTTGGGACCTAATTCCTGGGCCCCTGATCTAAGACTTTTTTCTGGGGGACACACGCCAGTCCTTTCTGCCTGGTCACCTTTCCACAGAAGGCGCCTTCTCAGGTGCCATCTGCCTTCTGACCAGCGGGCTAGGGAGCAGGGAAGGCTTTCCACGAGGCTTGTCTGTGTGGGTCTGGCATGAGGAACAGTGACAGGAGAGCCGCACTTCTGCCACCCCTCCCTTTAGGAATCCCCTGCCCTCACCAAATGGCCTTCCATAGACAGCTGTGTCCAGGTCACTTCCTCTTTCACAGAATTTTCTGTTTATCTGAAACCTGTTCAGTCCTTGCTCTCAAGCTGAGGAGCATCTTTCTCCAGAAGCCCTCAGGCCTCTCCTCACTGAACCCCCAGACCTCTGAGGTCAGCTGCCTCCCTGGGCTCCGACCACCCCTCCTGCCCAGCCTCGCCACAGTTGTCATAACAACGCTTTTGCCCTGCGCTGGCTGTTGGCACATCAGTGACCTTCGCCAGTGTCTGCCCAATGCCCGCCAGGCACCAGGCTCTTCAGTTCGTCCTCAGCCACTGTGGGAGGTGTTACCAATCTCTGCTTTCCAGAGAAGGCTCAGAGGAGCTGAGTGAGTCACCAAGGTCACACAGTGAATACGGGACCGAGCCCAGACTCAAGCTGGCTAATGGGCTTCAAGACCACGGCACAGTATCTTCACTCTTTGGCCACCTGCCCGCCCCCACAGAGAACTCACAGGCTAAGGTTGGCTTCACACGTTTTTGTGGCCCCTGCTGTGTGAGAGGAGAGCGCGCGCGGGACCTGGCACACAGCGGGAAGTCAATAAACACTTACCCATTTATTTATAAATATTTGCAAGAGGCAAATAGCAGGGGGGTGGTTAAGAGCACCAGCCCTGGAGCCAGACCCTAATGCTGGTGCAGACATTTATAAACTGTGAGACTTGGCGCCAGAGAGAAAAACCTCTCCGGGCCTCAGTTTCCTCATCCGTGACAAGGGCACACCCATCATATCTACTGGGTAGGGCTGTAGGGAGAAGCAACAAGCTCACTACACTGCTGAGGACAACCGAGCAGGGGATAAACATGGCTGTCACTGCTGTCGGCCGAGGCATTCCTCAGTGTGCCTCAGCCCTGACAAGTCTAAATTGTAACTGTTTGTCCAGCTATTATCTCAGAACTTGTAGCTCATATACACAGTGTCCTGGGCGAGGCCACACCTGCTCTGATCCCGGTGGGGACCAGCAGGACAATGGAGCCACACGCCATGGTTGAAGGCCTGGCTGGGCCTTCTTTGTCCTCTGCGCCTCTGTTTTAGTCTCTGTTCACGGGGCAGAAGGCTCCCTGGAAGCCTGGCTTGGGAGGGGTGACTGCCCATTCCCCGCAGCCCCTGGGCCCCCTCACCTCAAGTGACCGACCGCCAGCCCCCCACAGCCCTTGACCGCCTTACCTTCCTGTGGCCCATGAAAAAGAGGGAAAGGTGGTGCATGGAGCCGCCGTTGCGGCCCAGCTCCTTCTTGAGCGTGCGGGGCGAAGGCATGGCCCAGGAGGACGTGGCGCCCTCGCCATCCGAGCAGTGCAGGGTGGTGTCGGAGGAGAAGCAGGGCCCGCGGGTGTCCTGCAGCAGGCTGCCCTCGCTGTGGGTGCGGCGCCGTAAGGAATTCTGCACCCGCAGAGAGAGGCCCCCGTCGGCGCCCTGGCTGGTCTCGATCATGCTGCTCCGCTTGACCTCGCCGCGCTCGCCGTAGTTGTCATCGCTCGTGTCCTCGTCCTCGTAGTCCTCACCCTCGTCCCCCTCGTCCCCCTCCTCTTCGGCGTCGTCCTCATCGCCCGAGCTGCCCCCCTCTGCCCCTGGCTGGCTGTAGGCACTATCCAGCCGGACCTCAGGGATCACGAAGGCCGGCTTGGGGGCCACGGGCGGGTCCCCGGTAGCTGCTAGTGGGTCCCCAGAACTCGTGGTCTCCTCAGCAAGGGCCTCAGCTGGCAGCAGCACCGGGCTGGAGGGCGGGTCCTGACAGGGAGGAAGGTCCTGGGTGGGAGGGGGGTCCTGTGTGGGAGGGAGCTCTTGCCCGGCAGGAAGGTCCTGGCACGGAGGGAGGTCGGGGGCCGTAGGGACTTCCTGGCCTGGGAGGGAGTCCTGGCTTGGCGCGAGTTCTTGGGCTGGAGGGCCTTCCTTGCAAGCAGGTGGCGCTTCACTGGACACCGATTCTTGGCCGGAAGACTCTGAGTCCTTACTGGGTGGAAGCCCTTGTCCCGGAGAAGACTGCTGGCCAGGAGAGGTGTCCTTGCTGGGTAGGGAGTCCTTAGCACCTGGCCCCTTCTCTTCCTCCAAGGACATCTCCCTCTTCTCATCAGCCTCCGACTCAAACATCTGGGGAACAGAGAGAGAACAGGAAGGATTCAGAACAGGAGGCTACAAGATGCAAGCACTGTGTACAGAGGCCAAGCCAGAGCCAGGCGATGGCCTGAACCCCACACCCTACACGCTGCACCCCAGAGTCCGAAAACTAAAGTGCCAGGTGGAAACCCGAACACCCCTGGGGCTTCAGGGGTTCCTTGAAGCTTTGGCTTCATCAAAACCATATTCGGTCATTTAGGGGAGACGAGGAAGTGGTAGCCACTGTATCTCTACTGTGTGACAGGGACTGTGCCGGATCAAGCCCCTAAATAATGCTCTGTAATCTTCCCCGGGGGCCTTCCAAGGGAAGTGTCATGACTCCCATTTTACAGAAAAGGAAACAGAGGCGAAGTCACTTCCTCCTCAAGGAGGAAACAGGCAGCCTGTTGCTCTCATGGACCAAATCGAGCAGTCTCAAGGAGGGTGTGACCCACCCGAACCTAGGCTTTAAGGAGAAATCCACAGAAGTGGCTCTGCATAGCTAAGAATCTGTACGACAGAAGTAACCAGAATGAAACCAGAAGTTCAAAACATCACCGACACCTGGACCAGAGAAGTGCCCCTGTTTCAGGGAACCTCACAGGGGTCACCCCCAGAGTACTTCAAAGTTGTGTTTGGAGGAGTTCCACACACAGCAGAAAGCCTTTCCCGCCTTGCGCGGGGCCCTCAGAAGCCCTGGCGTTTGCGCCAGGTTCCTACACATTTCATCTGCAAAGGCAACACCAGGGTCTTTGATGCAACCTGAAGAGCCACCATCTCACGTGGAGGTGTGAGCTCAGAGCCGCCAGGAGCGTCTGACCTGCCGCAGCCACACAGAAGAGAACCCCAACCTGGGCTCGCCCCTCAGCACATTCAGGGACATGGAATGCTGGTGCCAGAATGATTCCGAGGAAGGTTTGGTCCACGAAGGGGCTATACCCACCTGGAACTAATGGAAGAAGAAGACACCACACAGACCAGAGAAATGACAGGTCTGTGCAAACACTCAAGCACCCGCGCGCACACACACAGAGCGACTTTCAAGGACGTAGGCTAAGAGCGCTTGCTGTGAAGACTATTAATGTCCATTTGACAGGTGAGAAAGCTGAGCCCAAAGAGCAGTGAGTGACTCACAGCTGCTCCGATGCTGAACAGCTATTTCCAAAGCTGAGAAATATTTGTAAGCCTTGGGGAGGCTGAGGGGGAAGTCCCAGGCGGGCCTCGTATCTGGGGGTCAGCAACGCAGCCTTGGCTCAAGGCAGCTTCGGGGTGCTGCACTACCAAGTCACTCCGTCATCAGTGAGAGCCAGAGCGGATGTGAAAGCAGAGTGTGGGTGAGAGGCACCGCTGGGAGCATGAAAGTGAAAGCCCCTTCCTCCCAGCAGAGTGGGCGCCGGGACCAGAGGGAACCCTCAGAGGACTCCAGGATGTTCTGACAAGGGCCTGGCTTGGCCAGTCACTCAATCCAAAGCTCTGGATTTCAAGGTGTCTGCCTATGAAATGGGGTGACCCCTAGGCCCAACGGACACACCAGGAAACAGACTCTAGAGAGAACAGAGCTCTTAAGCAGAATGATGATGGCGGTGGTAGTCATGGTGATTAAAAAATTGCGCTGGAGGGAAATGCTGAGGTCATGGACTTCAAACAGCACATCTGCCCCGCCGACCCCAAGAAGCAAACTCTGTCAAACCTCCACTATCAAAGTTGGTGACTGTGCTCTCAGCTGGAAACTAAAGCCTAAGCTTGAGCCCCATCCAGCTGAAGAAGAGACCCCCCCTGGAGCTGACAGTCCCCTAAGGGCTTGCCAAAGGCACGCCACACAAACGGGGCTAGGCTGGGGGTTACAGCCTGGGCTTTCCGGCTCCTTCTTCTAAACCTTCCTGTGGTCTCAGCCCCCAGAGCAGCCCTGCCTCCCTCCTCACCACCACCACCCCACCCACTAGGGGTCATTCTCCATATAAAAAGAAAGAAAAAAAAACAGCCCTCTCTCACCCCTCACCCTACCCCCCCAACCAGCTCCCTGGTGCCCCCTACTCCGTCCTTCCCCTGGGGCAGACCCCCACCTGCCTCTGATGTTCCGGTGCAGGTTAGGCTGCAGGAAGGAAGCAGAACTGGTGTCCTCAGGCACAGAATGGCCTTGAGTGGGGAGCAGGCCCAATTTCCCTTTCCTGGGGGTGCCGGTAGGTGGGGCTGTCCCAGAGACGACAGCTGCCTGAGAAGGCCCACCCCTTGGGAAAATGCAGCCACGGGCCCAAAACCAGAAACGCAAGTCAGCCTGCCTCTGCCAATTCTGCCCTAAACCAAGGCCAAACCAAACAAATCCAGCAGGCGGCCAGCGGCTCCAGGCCGCAGGCAGCCAGGACAGCGCCCAGGACCCGGACAGAGGACTCTCAGAGTTCCGTGGCTCCACACCCTACTGTCCTAGTCTGACTTGGGTTTTGGTGCACAGGAAAAGCCTCCCCACCCCTCGGGCCTGCTCCTCACCTGCAGCAGAGTGACTATGGCGCCCGACGCTCATTACTCTCTTGTTGGCCCGAGACACGTCTGACCAAATGCTGCCTATTGAGAGTCCAGTCTTATTTGTGAGATGGGCATACAGGGCCCGAGGTTAAGGGAACTTGCTGGGCTCTGGGGCTGCTGTGGCACCCACACTCATGTTTCTGTCCCAAGTTGTCTCCCTGCTTCCTTGGAAACTTCCACATAAGTGTTGGGAGCCCCCAGGGGTGGGGGCAGGGAAGCATGCTGTGAGTGCTCCGGGCTCAGCGCACACAGTCCCCAGCAGAGACTGGAGCCCCCTGTGCAACCCTCCAGGCCTGGCCAGTCAGAGTTCCTGGGAAAGCTGGGCTGGGGATGCCTCGAAGGGAGGTGGCTTCTGGAGCAAACCCAGGGAACCTCAGAAGTCTGGGTTGACAGGGAGACAATTCAGACACGAGAAGCGATACAGCTGGGGGGTGTCACAGCGTGGATGTCGGCAGCGGGGCTGTCCTGGAAGCTACGAAATGACACCCACACAGTCAATCTATGCGAAAACTGTACTGGACAGTAAGAACAAGACATGGGGGTGGGGGAGGGCCAGGTGGGAGGGCGCGCCCATGTGCGTACCCTTCCTCCAGGCACTGAGCCAGGCCTGAGCCGGGCAGCAGAGGGCGAGTCAAACACAATCCCTGCCCTTGGCTGAGCAGAACCCACAGAGGCTGGACAACTGCTCTTAACGAGTGTGGCAAGTGCTCCGAGGAGGAAGTGTAGGCCGCAGGGACACCTCGTTAGACAGCTGTCACAACAAGTTTGGGTAACAAGAGTCCAGCTGAGAGATACCAGCCTGCTCTGCCAGGGCCTTGCGTCCAGAAGGCTCGATGCAGCTGCCCACCTCCTGCGGGCAGTCTGTATCTCTACCATCCATCACTTCCTTGGCTTGGCCAGACCAGGGCTCATTCCGTCCATGTCTGGCCTGCTGGAAGCACACAGGAAATGAGCCAGGCCTCTAAATGGAGCTGCTGGTTAGGATCTAATCAAATCCTCTCCCCATCCAATCTAGGTCTCGGAACAGGCGGAGAAGGGTGGCAGGTATGACACCCAGAGCGCGTCCCCTCACCCAGCTGTGTCTCTGGCGCCCCTCCCCCAGAAGCCCACCTGTTCTTGGCTTGGGAGTAGCAGCGGCTGCAGGAAGGGACCTGCCCAAACACACAACTATGAAGTGTGGCTCCAGGTCTACTGACCTCAGAGTAAACCTGCAGCTTTCACCCGAGATGACTCATCACACATGCTGGGCTCCTCATCTGCCTTCAGAAACCACTTCCTGTACTTGGCAAGGGTGGGGGTGAGGGTACGCAAACTAGGGTTCGCCTCCACTTCAGGAGGGCCCTGGGGCAACTAGGATTTTGCAGAAAGAGAGCTGAACATCAGACCAGAGTACCCAGGCTGGGATCCTCCCTCCATTACATCTTGGTGTGTGGTCCCAAGCTAGCACTTTTGGTTTCCTGGGCCACGAAATGGGGTGCGGATGCCTCTTGTGCCAGAGCACTGAGGGGGCCGAGTCTGAGAAGCTCCCCACTTCCAGTCCCTGGCACAAGTTTCCTGGAACCTCAGCTGCTCACCCAAAACAGCCCCTGAGGGCTGCCAGCTCAGGCCCCTTCGCTCCCACCAGGCCTCTCCTCTTCTTTTGCTCCTAATGCTACAGATTTGGAAAAGTCCAGGAGGATGGAGCAGCCTTACGATGCTGAGGGGTCTAGGCAGTGCTCCCTACTTCACAGCTGGAAGTCCTGGGGGTTAGCTGCTTTGTGTGGCTCAGTTTCCCTAGCCATAGTGTGGGGTTCACAGTAGCTCCTTGCAGTGTTGTGGGCCGTGGGGTGAGCTGGCGCTGGAAGTGCCGGGTGAACTGCGGCCACCAGCTCGAGCATCTCCCCTGGCCCCCCCCCCTGGGTCTACGGCCCCTTCTCCACTTCCTCTGGGCCTCTCGCCCATGCACTGGAGCCTGTCTGAGACCCCTTCTTGTCTCAGCCCCACACACCCTCTCATGCACCCCTGACGACACCCACCCCTGTACCACCCTCTGCCCCCGATGCCAGCTCACCCCGCCAGCCCCCACCTGTCCCCTGAGTCTAGGTCCCAGAGGGGAGCATTCGCCAAGTGCCTGCGGCCAGCGCTGCTCCGAAACACTCCTGGGAAGGCCTGTGGGGTACAATGGGGAGTGAGACAGGCATGACCCCCGTCCTGGTGGGGCTTAGGGGCAAGCTCGAAGGTGCTGTGGGAAGCACTGATCGGGCACGTGGGACAGCCACCTTAGAACCACCCGGGGGGCCCTCCCTGGTGGCGCAGCGGGTTAAAGCACAGCACTGAGAAGCTAAAGCCACTTGAACATGAGTTCGATTCCCGCCTGCCCCGGAGGTGACCACATGGCGTGGCAGACCTCTCCTGACCCGCCCGCTGCTCCCCTCAGCAGTGTACTTCGTCGATCTGCCTGTTCTGCTCCCCACTCTGTCTCTGGTGAAGCCTCT